TAACGGCAACAAAATCTCTTTTTACGATTCAATGTGCTCTTCTTTGACAAAAGCTCTTATACTTACTCGACGATTGTCGAAACAATGCAAAGAGGTTTTTTGTTTTGATACACACATCATCGCGAGTAGGTATTTTTACGCTCCTATATTTAACAGGATTAAAGTTGAAAGAATCTGCAAAACATTTGTATTTTTTTTTTTTGTTGTTGCTTTTCATTTCCAACCCGCAAGCATGCATTGACCGAAAAGTAAAAAAAGCCCGTCGAACTTGTTGAGAATAAAACGCGCTGTTCGTCAGAAAAAAAAAAAAAAAAAAAAAAAAAAAAAAAAAAAAAAAAAAAAAAAGGTATAGAGTTATAACGAGGTCCGGGATCCCTTGCTCGCTCGCTCTCCTTTTTTTTCCTCTCTTTCGATTCGATGCAGCCAAAGAGACTTGCTTTCGACTCTTCGTATATGTGNAAAAAAAAAAAAAAAGAAAGCAAGGGGTCGAGGAGGCTCGTCGCTCTCTCGACAAAACAACAGACACATAAAAGAGAGAGAGAGAGACGAATAGCACCAGAGTGGGAGGAGATGATGCAAAAGAGGCGGTGGCAGAGATAAAAACGAAATCAAGGAGCAAGAGAGGAAAATACGATGCTTCTCCCTTTTCTTCTTGGGCCTCTATTTTCGTATCGTCAAACAAGGGAAGCAGATAATATATATAGTACGTACACTATCATAATGAGTACGCGCGAGGATGCATCCCAGAGGAGAATAATAACATAACCATGATAATCATGATAATAATAACAGAACACGCGAGCGAGAAAAGAGGCATAGTTGTGGGTATTCTCCGGGAGATGTTCAAGGTCGACGCACTCGCCGCGCCGCGATTACGGTCATGCAGAGGAGGAAGAAGCGGCCGAGCCGAAGGTGGCGGTGGTGGAGGAGGATGGGACGAGAAAGAGAGAGAGAGAGAACCGAGTGTTTTACAGTACACACACACACAGCAGCAGCTCTGCTGTTGTTGTTGTTTTGAACGCCTGCGACCCCCACCTCCTCCTCTCTTTCTTCAACTCTTTCTCTCGATGCTTCATACTTTATACTTCACGTGCATGTTGTATCTGTACACGTACACATAATATTATGCTCGCCGCCTCGACTTGCCTTTCTCTCTTTTGACGCTCCTTACTCATGTACGTTTCTCTCGTTTTGAGCTTTTTAGATTCGTCGTAACCATGACTTTAAAACTTGGAAAGTAAAGAGAGAGAGATAGAAAAAACTTACATTTTGCATCGACGCCTCGTCCAAACACCCCTGGCTGATGAACCTTTAATACCTGCACTTTCCCATCGTAGATGCAAAATATAAATAATTATATCCTTCCGCGTGAAGTAGCGAAGCCAGTCATCCTCGTAGATTTGATGTTAACACCCCCATTGCAGGAGTTTTCGGCCTCCGTAGAAAATACATTTGAGAAATAATAGCCTCGAATGTGTTACGTTATATACTGCAGAAAAGGAAGATTCGGCGGAATGGGGGGGGAGACAAAAGAAAAAATCCCCGACACGTTTTAAATGTCCGCGAGTGACCCGTTTCTGACATAGGCACGCACGTGTGCTCGCGCAGACCGAGGCACAGACTATAAAATCTGAATTAATTAAAAACACGTACATGACGTCGTATACAGCCCCCGCTAAAGTCCCGAGGCAGCAACTCTTCTCCCAAGGTTATTGAATATATATACATACAATGCTCGCGTTAAATCTCCCCGCAATACTTATAGTAATATAAATCCGGGCAGACGTTTCGCAATATCATGTAACGTGTGTGACATCGCCGTGCCTACAACATTAAATGCGTCACTTTGGTGTTACAATATTATTGTATATTTGGATGTATGTTCATTCTCGCGAGTACTTACCTATATGAGAGGGAAAAAAAAAATTTGACTTATATATTGAGTGCACATTGCGCAGCCACGTTTGATCGATTGCGAAAATAAAAGGAAAAATGTGGGTGTCCGTGGCATACGAGCGTGTAATTATTAACGGAGCGCGACTGACGTGTGCACGTCGTATACGGATAAATTACCCGTTTTTATTCGCTTTAAGCTTCGCAAATTCACGGGCATTTATTAGAACTCTGTGTGTCTATCGCGTGGCTAAATTGCCGGTTTTATTTAAATTCCGTTTATCAGTCATCACATGTAGTATCCTAAGGGTGATGGTATATTTTCGACCGAGTTTTCGACGACATTTTTGCGTTATCTTTCGCCTCATTTTCTGTTGTTCTTTTAAAAAAGTGGCGTGTCCTTTGGTACATACCTGCGACGCGTCGCACAGTAGCCAAATATATAATTGGCCCCCTGAAAAACGCGAGGTACGTTAATTCGCCTTTTGTACGTTCATATACCACGTGGCTCTCGTGTTGCTATGCCGTGGCATCGTAGCTTCGTTCATTACGACTATACTACGTTCCGAACTAGCAATTTCGCTGACTTTTTTTTTTTTTTTTTTCTTGCGCAAAAGTATAAGTATAAAGCGGTAGATGTAGCCGAAGAGCGCGGGTCTCTTTCTCCCCTGCCCCCCTTCCCGTTACTGTCGTGTATTCCGTGGAAGCGCGTCGCGCCTTTGTTCTTCCTCCCTCACTTTACCTTTTTTTTTTTTTTTTTTTTTTTTTTTTTTTAGCATATTATGTGTATACTATATGTACTCCAAGACCGTAATGGTGTACACGCACGTGTATAATATACGCGTATCGTACGGTACTTTCTACTTTGAGTTTCCCTCCCCGACCGCACTATAAACGTAATCTCTCGCTACCATGTACCGCGGAACCGAGAAGTTGGATGTTGCTGAATAATCGACGCGCTTTTTTTTCTGCGAGATGAGTCCCCCCTTTTTTTTCTCTCACTGTTACGTCAGAGAGAACAAGGAGAGAGAGGAAAAAAAAAAAAAAAGGTTGAATATGGCTCCTGCGTGGGTACTTAATGTCATGGACGTGAATGGGGGGTGGGAGGAAATCTATTCCAGTTTGCTTTTATATGCCACATAGCGCGAGATTCGATCTGAGCTTTTATATTTAGTATATGTACGCCAGGGCAGACGCCAGGGACATTTAAATAATCTTTTTTTTTTTTTTTTTTTTTCACTGCTCTCCATCTGTGCATTATTTGCACACCAGTCAGGCGTGTATGGGTACACGTTTCGCAAAAGTTTAACATTATCGTCTCCACTCGCATTCTAGAAGCACCTCCGCGCTATCGATTCTTATGCAAGTGTGTCTCGAGTCTCTCTCTCTCTCTCTCTCTCTCTCTCGCTTGGTTACGCTAACTTTAGACAAATATAATCACTCGTTGCGCAAAAACCCACGATGTCTCTATCTATCTCTCCTTTGCTTATAAATATGTTTCCGTGAATAACATTATAATTAGCAATCTGTCGTTATACTTTGATCTTGATGTGATGAAAAAAAAAAAAAAAAAAAAAAGTATAGATATATATTCATAAATGCGAGCATTGAAGGGATAAAAAAAAATCTGAAATTAAAATATCTTCAATTACCATACACGTCCTATGAGAGAGAGAGAGACGAACAAAATATGTATTCATCCCCACGACCGAGCTCTCGTAGCAAGAGCCAATTTAACCAATTTTTTTTTTCTGTCTTTCTTCCTCGTCGTAAAAAGAGAGAGGCCCTCGGCCGACTTGGCACTTGTCCCCCCCCCCTCATCCACCCAGTGGATTATTACTATTCTTATTATTTTTTTTTCTCTATTTTCTCAAGCTCGCTCTCGAGCATATTCTTCCTCGTTGTCGCTCGCTCGGGCGCTGATTTGCGATCGGTTGCCCGCGATTTCGCGGCAGACGAAAAACGTGCCTCCAAGCACGTTCCTCCCTCGTGCCTTCCTCTCTTTTCCCTCTACTTCGTACGGTGGGGTTATTTTTTTTTTTTTCTCCTTCGTCTTTGTCCGTTGTTCTCTTTTGTACACCCGCGACGTCGCGTGCGGGCCAAAGTAGGCACGAAAATGGGTTGTTTCGTCTTCTCGTTGCTAAATAGAAGAAGAAGAGGGAGGGCCGGTGAATTTTCGACGCCTCGTATACCCTTCCGACCTTTTTTTTTTTTTTTTCCTACTCTCCCCTTTTTTGTCGCTGTCTTGACACTTTGCTTTTCTTTTTGTCCCCTCCCCCCGTTTTTTCACGTGCACTTTCCCTTGATATTTTTGCATGTAATTTCAAGTTTTTTTTTTTTTGTTTTTTTTTGTTCGCTCAGCAGCTGGTCAGTTTAATTTTACGCGTAAGAACCTGTCGTGCTTATCCCCATGGTCGTCTTGGCTCTCGAAAATAGTGCGCGCCGTCGGTTTAACGAGGAAATCACTTAATATTGACGTGTCCTCCCTGCTACCGCGTTAATCGTTAAATTTTTTTTTCTCGAAAATATATTGTGACACGTGTGCCTCTGAATTTTTTTTTTTTTTTTTTTCTTTGCGAGATTCGCGTGATTGAAAGCGAAGAAAAAAGAGCTGTAGTCCTCCTAAACGTAGTTCTGGACGATTGTACTTTACGACCGTTTCGCTTCTTCGTTTCGACGGTACAGTCATTAATGATCTCCTTTTTCGTGTCTCCCACTTGAGTGTCTTATTCCGTAAACCTGAAGCTTGAAAAGTTAGAGGGGCCTGCAAAAGTCAGATGAAAAAAAATGCTTTTCATCGTAGAAGCTACGACGCTGGTCAATAATCATTTAGACAAATTTACCCTGCATATATTAGTCATAACTTGGAAATTTTCTTGTTTGCTTCCTTGAAGTAGTTCAATAACTGAATTTTGTTTTTTTTAATGATTTATTGGTGAAATATCATTGTATTTTATTGTTCCACCACATTACAAACTTTTCTGTTGTTAGATATTGATATCTCAACCTATAGAAATTTTAAGATTACATCAAAGTTTTTTAAAAAAATTTTTTTATTAGACATTCGTACGTATGTATGAACTTATACAATTTTTTTTGCATTACAGAAGCCGAACATGGATATGCTTCAACGTTGCCGATACCGGACGACATACGGGTGGGCAGTAAGAGGCCAAAGACGAAAAAATCCCAAGGAAGCAGGTTTGTAAATACGTATTTAAATAAATAAAAAAAAA